CCCTGAGCCCCCCCACCACCACCGTGCCCCCCAGGAGAGGGGACACCCAGCTTCTGGGGCACTTTCAGGTTGGGTTTAAGGCCAGGTACGAGCAGAAAATGCCATTTAATCCCGCTGGCAGGATCAGGTGACACCCCCCCCCCCGTTCCCCCCCGGATATTCCACTCCCAGGAAACCTCCAGGATCCGTTTCATCGGAAAATGGCACTGGGGGGAGGGAGGGCACGGCCATGGCCCCCCCAGAGCAGCAGCACCCACTGCTCACGCCAACCACGCTATTCGGTTGCTCCCACCCTGCTCTGACACCTCGAGACCCCCCTGCCCTGAGATGGGACACCTCTGGGGGTCCCTCAGGGTCAGGTTTGCTCCAAGCAGGAGCCTCGACCCCCCCCCTCAACCACCAAACATTAAACAATTAACACAGAGGAGATCAGGGAGCTCCTCTCGGGCCAGGACCTGGTTCTGGGGGACTCCTCACCTTGATCTCCACCTGGTTGAAGGTCTTGCCGTTGTAGACGCCCACCATGCTGCCCACCATCTCGGGGAGGATGATCATGTCCCGCAGGTGGGTCTTCACCACCTCGGGCTTCTCCATGGGGGGGGCCTCCTTCTTGGCCTTGCGCAGGCGCTTGAGCAGGGAGTGCTGCTTGCGGCGCAGCCCCCGGTTGAGGCGCCGGCGCTGGCGGGCGCTGTACAGCTGCATCAGCTGCTCACTGGGGGGGGGACAGAGAGATTGAGCCCCCAGACCCCTCCCTGGGGACCCCACACCCACTGGGGGACTCAGGATCACAGAAGGGATAGAGCTGGAAGGGACCTTAAAGATCATCGAGTTCCCCACTCCCCGCCCTGGGCAGGGACACCTCCCACCAGCCCAGGTTGCTCCAAGCCCCCTCCAACCTGCCCTTGAACCCCTCCAGGGATGGGGCAGCCACAGCTTCTCTGGCCAACCTGGGCCAGGCTCTCACCACCCTCACACCAAACAAGTTCCTCCCCACATCTCAGCCCCATCTCCCAATTATTTTGGTTTAAAACTGTCCCCCCTCATCCCATGGCTCCCCTCCCCAAACACCATCCCTGCAGGGATCTAAAAGCCGGCGCTGAGGGACATGGGTCAGTGGTGGGTCGATGGTTGGTCTTGATGACCTTAAAGGTCCCCTCCAACCCAGGGAAGTGGTGGAATGGCCAGAGCATCACAGAACGTTCTGGATTGGAAGGGACCTTCAAGCTCATCCAGTTTCATCCCTTCTGGTGCCTGGGACACCTTCCATGAGACCAGGTTGCCCAAAGCCCCCTCCAACCTGCCCTTGAACCCCTCCAGGGATGGGGCAGCCACAGCTTCTCTGCCCAACCTGGGCCAGGCTCTCACCACCCTCACACCAAACAAGTTCTTCCCCACATCTCAGCTCCATCTCCCCTCTTCCAGGGTCAAACCCTTCCCCCTCCTCCTAGGGCTCCCCTCCCTGATCCAGAGTCCCTCCCCAGCTTTCCTGGAGCCCCTTGAGGGACTGGAAGGGGCTGGAAGGTCTGCCTGGAGCCTTCTCTTCTCCAGGCTGAACCCCCCAACTCTCCCAGCCCCCCCTCCCAGCAGAGGGGCTCCAGCCCTCCCAGCATCTCCATGGCCTCCTCTGGCCCCGCTCCAACAGCTCCATGTC